TATTGTAGCGGTGATTTAGAGCGCTTACATCGTCCAACTGCGACATGTTTTCTGAATACGAGTGTACGTCTTAATACACTATGAAGCACAACAATCTTGAAGAAATTCGTGCAAAATGGTGTAACAACAGAGGCAGTTTTTTAGGAATTACAAAGATATCCTTCAATGATTTTTAATGCGTCTTCAGGTTAGGTGTGTCAATTGTGTCAATTGTGGCAATTGTGTGGAAAACTGGGCAACAATCAAGTTACTGTATAATTTCGAAATTCAACTGTTTCGGTGAATATTCAATCAGGTGCCTCTTTTACATCATGAATTTATTCTTATTACTATTTATTTGTTGCTATTAGGTACACCTAGGTACGTTTTGTGTTCTGTTAGGTAATTAGTGTCAGTATATCGTTTCTGTCCTCATCAAAAAAATATTCCTCCAATTAGACTTTTTCATATAAAAAATCAATAGTCCACTATTGAAATACAATGTTTGAGTGATTTTTGAGCATCTTTGGATTTATCTATACAATATATATCATTTTGAAGGAGAAAAGAGGAATTTAATGAGCTAATAAATTGAAAAAATCATAAGTATGAGTTGAATCTCCAAAACCATACTGCGAAAAAAGAATTGAGTACGACATTGGAATCTGAATGATATTCTTCATGACAAAAGATTTGAAAAACTCTGTAAATATAGAGGGTGTCCAAAATGTGAAATAAGTTATAGGCAAAATCTGAGTTTCACAAAAAAGTGGCACAGAACCGCAAAAACCGCAAGGTTCCATGTTCCACAACAACATAGATACCTCAGATGTCTGAACCGAAATGGAATACACTGTACAGGGTGATTCAAACTCCCCGCCCTTGGCTCATAACAAGGAAAGGAAAACTGCAGATGGAAATCTCTCACAGAGGGGATATACACAGTAAAAAAAAAGAGTGAAATTCAACACTATACCTGTTCCCAGGAGGACCACTAAGCTTCAGAGTAAATTATTCAACTCTATAGTTGAGTATATTATAGTGTGATTTTTTCAATTCAATTAGTGTAAATTTTCAATGCGAGCACATTGAAACTAACTCTATTTATTTGTCTAAATATATTGAATAAAAACAAAAATAGAGTTTGAAGAAACAATTCCGAGAGTGAATATTCCACTCAAAACCCAAGCTAGTGTCAATATCATCACTTTAGAGTGAAATTCAATAACCGAATATTACATAGTCACAAAAGTTGAGAGTTGATTCCACACTTTAAACAGTGTCGGATCCACCGGAAATTGATTGAATCATTTACTCTACGGGGATGTCAAATTGCTCCTACATTGTTCAAATTGACACTATCATTCGTTTTGTTGCTAATAAGGAGTTATCATTTATTCATCATTATAGATTGATATAGAACACTAGTTGAGTAAACTAGTCACTACTTCCTGTTGAGATTTCATCCAAGTTAGATTAGCCATTCTTTCACATGTCACAGTATTTATAGGGCCCCGACAGACGTTCAGCGGCGAAGTCTCCGCAGCGCCACCTTATGCAGTGGCGAGAATCGATGGACGAGAAGTAGTGTGACTTCATGATATTTTAATCGTTTGATATTTGGAAAATGACTCGAGTCGCACTAGACTAATTAGATAACCTATATATCTGTTTCATAAATCGTTCGAAATAATAATTTGAAACGGAATAAAACAGAAAATAACTGAGATATATATACGGAAATACGTTCATAACTCAATGTTGAAAAAATTTCTCACTACGCAGGTATAGTAAAGAAGCTACTTGAAGCTAATATCATGATCATTATATCATCGACACTATAATCTGTATTACTTATTTCACTATCTAGCAGACTGAACGATCTGAAACTGTATAGATTGATATTTCATCGTAGATAGATTGAATTGAACAGTGATAGAGTGTCAATTCAATCGACAAGAGATGAATATTCAAGTTCACTAGTGTCAGTAAACACTAGTATGAATTCAATTTCAATTGTTTGTGAATTGAGTTATATGCTTATATGAATTGATATTTTATTGAAATTTCAGTAATATAGAGTGAATTCAATACGAGAATAGTGAAAATTCAATCTAGAATTAGTTTCAAAGTATAGATAATCTGCGAGAAGTGTAGTAATAGAGTTGATTGCAGTATTAGAGTGAGTTTGTCAGAGTATTTTAACTCTAAAAACATACTCTACGGATTTCACTCGAAGCGGTTTTTTACTGTGTATTTATCCTTATTTGAAAATATCTCAGCTCCTTTCAAAATGGCGGAAATGACGTCTGCAAAATTATTTTTTCCACAGACTCACAATTTCTCCTCATATTCTGAAAAAACAAATTTTTTTTTAAACATCTTCCATCGTGAAACTTTCTTTCTTTCTTCATTAAGTTGATAGCTATGATGTGATATATGATTGGCATTTTCAAATAAACTTCAACTGACCCCGCCGTGATAAAAATCAAGTCGACCGGAAAACAAATAGTGAGTAATTTGATATATTTTGCATTCATCATTTAGAACCGATTAAAGCTGAAACCAGCTGACTCGATTTTTGATTACGGCAGGGTCAGTTGATATTCATTCGAAAATATTCTTTGCATAAAGTCACAATTTTTTCCTCATGTTCTGAAAGAAAATATTTCATTCAACAACTTTCAGAAAGGAAATTTTCTCCTATCATCATTTGGTTGATAGCTATCGGGACTTTGATGTTAGCAGTTTTGAATAAATCTTAACTGACCCCGTTGTAATGAAAATCAAGGCAAATCGTTTTGCAAGCAATATGGATTGGGATACATTTTGCATTCATATTTGAACCGATTGAAACGTAAACCTGGCGACTTGTTACGGCGGGGTCAGTTGAGATTTATTCGAAAATACCAAAGATTATTGAAATGAAAATACTAAATCCAGAGTCCCACGGCTTTTAACCAAATGGAGATAGGAGAAACTTGTCATGATGAAAGTTGTTGAAAAAATATGTTCTTTCGGAATATGAGGAAAAAATAGTGGCTTCGTGAAAAAAAAATTATCTGACGCCATCTCGGGGAAAGTTGAAATATATTTAAATACGAGAACATATACTTTACACGACACATCCATTCTAATCCTCTCTGCCGTATTTGCATTTGCAGTTTTCCTTTTCCTGTTATGAGCCAAGGGCGGAAAGTTTGAATCACCCTGTACATAATGGTTTCATGCTCACATAGTTCATCTTTTGATCAGAGTGTGGTCTGTCTGTCTGTTTGTCTGTACTCTGTGGTAATCATAAATCGATATTTCTCTGGAACCCTTTGACATATCGACTTGAAATTTCGCCATTTTATTGTACTCAAAACAATATCATGTCATTAAAATATGAAGGAAATCGGAAAAATCTAAGGTGGTTTTTCCGGGTTATTATTTCAAAAAAATCTCATCGCTCATGGAATGTCAAATGTGAAGCAATGACATCGCTGTCTAATAGATGAGCATTACTTAGCAGGAAATTAAATGGCTACAAGACCCAGCAGCACACTTTTGTAAAGCACCCCTTTTCTTGGGTTGGCCTATACAGGAGTCTTCACAAAGTTACTGATTCACTGGGTTCGTGAATACTTAGGCAGGAGTAAGATTGGTGTATATAGACATTAATACGGCAGTTCAAGATACATGAATCTCTATTCAGCAATCAACATAATATGGACAGGCAGAGTTGACATGGAAGTAAAACAGATGTGCTTACATAATATTGGTTGGTTATACATGATGACAGGATGATGTACACTCGCACTATTATACCGGGTCACTTTGAAAAGTTAATACAGTTTTATAAAAGTTCAATAATTCTCGATACACATCTATTGCAGCAACACGATATGTTCACTAGGTACAGACTTTTAAGCAATTTCTAATATCAACTACATATCACGTATAACTAGACTGTTTAGCAGAGTTACTGGTTCAAGACATGAGACTTCGTATCAAGAGTTCGATCAAGACTCACTTTTATGCCAAAACTCCCTGCTTTTATACTGAGATTTGGTCATAAATTTAATCAGAATTCATTAGATTTTCGCTTAGTTGAATTGACCTCGAATTAAAGTGCAAAAAGAGTGGCTTCGGATGTTTTCAGAAATAGTTTTTAATCTAATGGATTTTTATCAATAATCATTTTGCAAAAATCGATGTCAGTTGACCTTGGGTATTACTTAAAATTAAGTACAGAAAAAGGATTTCAATGTTCATCTGAAAAGATTTTAAACTAATTGATTTTTGTAATAATTCATCTGGCCTCTACCTATCTTTGGCCCGCCCCTCTGCTGTGGCTCAGTTACTTAGGTTATAAATTCCCTGTACACTCTTTTCTAACTTTTATTCACATCTTTTTGCTGTTCCTGTTCTTCAAGTGCCACTATCAACAATGTTACAAAGGTAAAGTACCTAATAATAAACCTATTACATATATGCATTTCTTGGGATTTGAAACAAATATTCATATTGCCAACAAGAGTTAATTCACGTAATAATATTGCTCTATCAATCTATCCTTCTAATACTTATTGAATGCATTCGAGTTCAGATACCTAAATATTTATTGACCTAATTAAAACGACCTTCTACTTCCTATAAGTGTGAAGTGTCTAGCATTAGTATTTGTTATGCTATTTTTGGTCGAGTCTTCGCGTTCATTACAATTCAACTAGATATCTTCGAATGTATAGTTGATTGTCACAAATGCAAATTAGGCGGTTTTTACAAGAAACATCTTACAGAAAAGTAAACAATGTACCATTTATTGATGGTCTTCGTCATCGGATTTTTCAATATTCTCACAATGAGCGTTACATTTACATTCAGTACAACAAAATACATCCTCTGTTTTGCAAATGCACTTCTGTGTTGAACATGTTTTTTCTGTGCAGAATAGAGAAATAATTTTTCTGACATTGTCTGGTACTGGGGCATGTGTCATCATACAAGGTTGAATCAGTTGAATCTGTTACCGAATTCTAGTGTCCAGTTTCCATGAAAAATTCAGAACTGTCCATTACTTCGTTATTCCAATGATAATATGAAAGAAGGACTAGCACGTCAGTATCGTCCGTGTTTATAATAACAGAACTATTTTCTTCGATGGAAGTTATTATTCGGAATATTAAACGGGTGTCAGCTTCTTTATGGTTGCACCGTGACATAGAGTCTTCGTCAATTGATGCATAGCTGACCTGAAAATTGAAAATTCAATTATGAAAATATAGGTACATACATCCATCTAGTTCGCGTGACCAACCTTAAAACATGATTCGGCATCTTTCGATCCTCCAGCAATGAAAAGAAACTTTCCTCCTGGTAGCCTCTTGAAGGAATCCATCAAATACTGGCTCAAAAATTTTATGAGTGTCATTTTATTTGGTGTTGATTTCAGAAAATTCCTGTAGTTTGGCACTGGTCGACTTCCTGTTATACTGAATATTCCTAGATTATGATGTCCACGTCTCTCCATGTCTTTTATGGAATCCTTGATATCATATTTATCAAATACCAGAAAAACTGAATCACAGCGAGAATATTTTTTGAAAATGAAAAGCATTCTTTGAAGTATCTTCTCTGCCAAATCGTTGAGAGTCTTGAAAGATTTCTCATTCACTTCATTCAGAATGACCATTCCATCTATGAAATAAAAACTAGTCGTTGAACAAGTATCCGCCAATATGTTACAATATAGATGTAACTTTTTGGCAAGATGTTTTTCTCATAGTCCTATCTTCATGAAAAAGAGAGAGTGGGACTGGTGTGAGTTCGTAGGGTAAAATATTAGTGAAATCTGAATCTTGGAACTGAGCTGCACTTGTAATTCTTCTGAACATAAACTCTGGATTTATTTTACTATTCTTTCCTGACTCCTTATAGCCAATTCGATCATCAGTGAAGTTTGACATTTTGAAACGACTGACAGTTTTCCAGAAACTAACAGTGCGTATTTTGGTGAACCTGTCCTCTCGACCATGGGGCGAATGGCGATGTCGTAATTTCTCATTATATATGTGGATGATGATGACAAAAAATGTCCCTGATGTTTAATTATTGTGCCCTGTTTAAGTACGGCAGACTGTGCGGTCTATCGTTCAATAACCCAATCATATAACTTATAGTCGGTGGTATTTCCTGGAAACATCGTCTCGCATACCGGGTAGCGGGCGGTAGTTACAGGTGTACTTACAGTAAAACGCTTATATCGAGAAATCTGTTCAAGATAGATCTTCATATAATCGATACGAAATGATCGATATGAATTTCCGCAGTTTTTGATGTGAAAAAAAAGTATCGTTCATTGGTCGAATAAGCAATTTATTGGGTGTTGAAGCAAACTGAAATGTGATGAAAAAGTGTTATCCTCTTAATCTTTTAAATTTTTAACATATTCCCAAATTTCAAAAAATAAATATACCTATATCAAAATGTAGTCGAATGTTTTCTCTATAATATGGAAAAAAAACTCATTTCCCTATCTCCTATCATAGTTGTAATATATCAACCTAATTAGAGAAAACAAGAAATTAAATCTTTTTGACATTCATCCCAATATTTTTTCTCTCGACCAATGGAGAGTATCGTAAATATTCAAAACACATGATAGAACGATGCATATAATATAATTTCGAGGTTCCATCAAGTTATACTCCATGATTGGGTTACTCGATAAATGGAAGACTTTTCGCAAGAGATCTGCTATTTTGCTTGTCTTCAGATTGTGAATGTGTGGATGTGCGTTTCGCCTGGAAACGTTCCACCCCGCGTACCATTCAACGAATTACGGGTTGCCTAAGAGGTCCAAATCCTCAGACCTCAGATACTGGTTGTTAGGTATAATACGAAGAAGTGATTCGCTATATCAGTGAAACTCATTGTGTGGTCGATCATACATTTATTCCGGTTCTGAATACCATTTACTTGAATAAAATGTTCTTGGGGTTAAAAACTTCTCACTCTTTCTCGGTCAACGGACGTCTACTCAATTTTTTTGTTCTAAAAGAACGAAAATTACAAAACTGTCGGTACCTATCTAAAACACAATAAAAACCGAGTGGTACATATGTGTACTTTATTGAAATTATTCATATGTGATCAACTATTACATACCTTATAGACCACACGTTTTCGCAAAGTTTATATGACAAAACAATCACAAATATTTTTCAAAGAAACATCAAAATTTCACGAAATATACACAGTCCCATTAATAATTATCGAGAACATAACCTTATAATATCGGATTGGTGTATTTTCTGCTTGCTTGAAACGAATAAAGTGACTCAGAATTTTTGCAGCATCTGTGGTACATATTATGTGTACCGTTCAGACTGAAAGAGGGAATGATTTGGAGCAGAAAGTGCAAATTTTTGTTGGTCTCACGAAAGGCAATATCCCAATTTATTAAAACTTTTGGAAGTTTTTGGGAATACTTCAAAGACGTTTTGATAGAATGTTCGACAAATATGGAGGTGGACTACAAATAGATGTGCTGTACTAAGCTTTTTGTCGAGTTCGTCTGTCTGCATGGTATTGCTAGTGATAGAATGATAACCGAACGTTTGAAGAAGATTTTCCGTAGAAGTTTTCATGAACAAGTGAGAGGTCGCCGTTGTTCCAATGATGTCAAGGAGTAAGTGAGTGTGGCATCACCAACTAGGTGAATTAGTTTGATGTTTATATATCGACTATGTGAACTCCGTAATCATCAAAGATACAACATTTTTGGAAACAGCAACTACTCCAACATAATTTTCTTTAATATATCAGGTGACCTTGGACCATAGGCGCCACCAGATAAAAATAGGATATAGGGCGGACAAAATTCGAAGATGAAATCGGGTAACCTACTAATGAAAACTGAGTGTGAATACTCAAAGCTAATATTAATCTGTGTAATTCTCGAAATGTCATCTCCAACCATTCAGAACTTGAAGAGTAATTTTCCATGATATTGACCATATCCACTCGTCAAAACTGAACCCATCACTAGTTCCTAAGCAGTTTTTTGAACAGCCTCTGTGAATCTGAGATAGAACAATCAATAAAACAATAATTGATCTTCGCATTGTCGAGTTTAGACGAAAATGTAGTTTACCTAACAAATGCCGAAAGTCATACTTTTCCGCACCTGTTTATTTAGATATAAAGAAATACATAGAGAATTCGCATTCGGTATGTGATGAAATTATCAATTCTTTCTCAGTATATTCAACAGAAAACAACTACTTTCCTGGCTGCGATTTCACTAAATATACTGTACGCTAGCACAAACCACGCCGACCGTAATATCTCATCTTCGAAGTACTTAGGCAAAACTCAGAAACTATTTATCCTTAACGAACTAACCTATCCCTGATTGCAATATTTTTGTGGAAGGAAAACCGAATGGAGTGTAGAAACACATTGATTAATAATATATCTCAAAAGTTGAGTTCTTCAACAAAATTGAATAAAATGAGACTGTTTATCCTAAACGCACTAACCTATTTGACTTCAAATATTTTCAAAATCATAAATCAATCATAAAAAGTGTATTCTTGCGTTCGAGCACAGTATATTTAGTGCGATGTGCTGACTCCGAGTATATCGGTAATGTTTGGAGATATGACGTATTATGGTGGGCGTGGTTTGTGCTAGCGTGCAGTATATTTAGTAAAATCGCTTCCTGGCTATATGTTACGACGAACATTCAATTATATCTTTTGAACATGCACACACGATAATATTTTGAAGATGAACTCTTCTGAAGTTGAGAATTTGCATTTTCCTTCAAATAAAAATATATATGCACATAATATCATTCTGAATATACAACAGAAAACAACTACTTCTCTGATTATTTGCCACGTCGAATATTGATTTATTTATATCTGTTCAACATCCAGAAGGGAACATGAAAATAAAAATTATCTGAAATTGAGAATTGGCATTCTGTTTTTTTGTCATATTTTAGTTCCTCTGTTGATATTTTCTTCTGACATAAAGACTAAAGGTTTGGTTCCTTGAACAATTTTCTATCATCAATAATAACAAAGTCATCGATGGCTGCTGACACTCAACTTGGATTACCCTGAAGAGTATCCCTTGACACGTGGGACTGACAAGAACGTTTATTTAATAGCTTCCATAG